GAAAAATATCTTTAAAATCCTACAAGCTAAGTACTACACAATGTGAGCTATCCTTAGAATCTCAATGTCTGGTGTGATATTGGTTCTATGGTTCTATGTGTGGTGTGATTCTAGTTCTGTTTGAGCTTTATGTTGGGCTTGACCCTAGTTCTATGAGATCTGCTATGATATATAAATAAAGGCTTAAACCTGAACTTGTGAGGCATATTTTTTAGTTCTATAAGATCTGTTATAACATATAAGTAGAGGCTCAAACACAAACTTAAAAGGCACCTTTTTCAGAAAATGCTCCTTACAAGTTTGGGTTTAAACCTCTACTTATAAATCATAGCAAATCTTTAGAATCTCCTGATGTAGGATTGAGATGTCATAAAAAAAAGGCTTCTAATCAGTTCTAGACTCTAAACCATAAAGTAAATTGATTTAAATTTTGCATTAAAGTTATTAATCTAAATAACTTTGCACTATAAAGACATATTGAAAAGGAAAAATCATGTAACATAACAAAAAATAAGAAAAAAAGTGTTATAATCATAATAATTAAGTTGAAACTTTGTGATTAAAACAAAAAAAAAGAAAAAAATTAAAGAAATCACAGGGAACAGTTACATCTTCAGGATACTTTTTCAAAAATTGCTTTATTGCACATCTCCAATTATGAGCACTAACAAATATGAATCCAAAAACCAATTAAGCAAATTCAAACAAATGAATAAATGGATAAGGCTATTGCCATACCTAGTAGTAAATCTTGTTGGGAATTCTTTACTTGTCATACGTGATTTTAAATTCTTTAGATCACCAAAAAAAGATTAAATAAATGGAAAGTTGCAAAAAAATGAGTAAATAAGTGAAGTAACATTTTTTTTAAAATCATTGTATTGGCATGAAAATACAGTAAATTTATAACAATTGAGGTTAGAGGAGACTACTTCTAATGTTTGTTACAGAATTTACAAATATGATATGATCTAGGTATTTCAAATCATATCAAGCACTATTACTATTTTGGCATTTCTATTTACAGATTAATGTTTAAAAAATATAATATGTTCATCTATATAAAATGTTTTATAAGGATTAAGTAAATTATTATCCTTTAAAATATATACCATACACTATTTTAAGAAAATTAATTAGAGTTTTGAAAGGACATACCTTTTTTTTACAATTTAGGTAACATTGTAGTGGAGTTAATTGATCTATTTCATTATAACATTGAAACTCATGTGTAAGAGATGGAAAGATAACTAACAACATTGGAATATCATCTATTAGCATGGCTTAGCAGCTCAAAACAATTTACAAACTCCATCAAACTTAAAACACAACAAATAATAAATTTAATTTTTTGATAACACAAAAAGCATAGGCATAAGGTTTAAATTAGTATTTTATACAAAGCTTGCATAAAAAAATTATAACAAAAAATAATATTATAATATCAATCAATATTCTTGTTTTTCCTTAGCTTTAAGTAAACATGCATAAAATTATTAAAGGAATGCTCATCTAATAGCGATAGTAGTAGTAACTAGGTGAAATGCGATTTTAACGGTTAATTCAAAAGCAATATCAACAACATTTTGAGCACATTTAATTTTACCTCAACCTAAACTTAATTGCCATTCAAACTTTTAGATGTAGATTGATTGTTCAAACTTTCAATTGCCATAAAATCTTTTGTACTTGTCCTATAAACAACATACAAATTCAATTAATTCAATCTAACAAAACATAACAAACAACAGCTTTTTGTACTTGCCATATAAACAATATACAAATCCAAAATCAATCTTAAATAACAACAAAAGCAAACAAATAAAAAAATACTATTAAAAAGCCAATACCTTAACAAAGTTACCAAGAGTCTTAGTAGAACCCTTAGAGGAAGTAAAAACATTTGTAATCCCAACAAAGTAAAACAACTCCTTGGGCACCCCAACAGCCACAATCCTCACACATATGGAAGCTGACACATATTAATAGTAAGGAACCCACATTTCCCAGTAACTTTGCAAGGCACTATATGATGTCACAACTTCTTTGCTACAATTCTCTGCCACTCCGACATGCCCATTTTCATAGCCAACAATGAAGAAGGCCTTCAAATTGGTGCATTGCCGACAAATGTTTGTTTGTAGACAAGAGTGATCTTCATGACCTCGTTTTTCAAGGATGGGTACCCATTTATCTTCTTCATTCTGCGGTTACGACGCATGCCTCTTAGTAGATCCCTTAGAGGAAGTAAAACATCCATAATCCCAGCAAACTGAAGCAACTTCTTAGGCACCTTAAACACAACCTTTAAATAAAAGAAAAGTAACATGCAACTTAGAAAAGAAATCAAATAAATTACACCACATGACATGCAACAAAAAAAATTCATTTAACTTAAAAATACACAAAGACAATCATGAAAACAAATCATCCACTAACCTTCAACTTAATACCAAAAAATAGTGAACAATACTTGCATAAAAAAAATACTAATCAAACAAAGAACACAAAACAATGAAAAAAAAATCCATTCCGATTATCATTCATGCAACCCAATCCCAAATAATACTACCATTACATCATTTTAAATGAAAATAAAACAACATGCAAACCTCACAACAAATAGTTTAGACAAACTAAATTGCAATAACTGAAACTAAAATTCACACTAGAAAACAATTCATTACAAAATATAATTCAAATGAGTTGTTAAGATTCCTAAATCTACTAACATTAACAAAAAAAATTAAAGAATTTGGATTTCAATAAAAAATGGAAGGGTTTAGTGCTGAAATAGTTAAGGGCCAACTTAATATGATTATAGATGGTCTCAACATGCAACATTTCATTGTTTCAGTTTTCACAAAAAATCGTATTTGCTTGCAGTACCACCAAGATCGGCCTCCACCAAAACCATAAACCCACTACCCAGGACCACAAAGTCACCACTACTGTAAATCACTATCACAATCCCGTAGAAAATAGAAAAATAATTAATGGACAAACCAACAAACCAAATAAATAGAAACCCAAAATATCCAGAAGACATCTCTATCAATATCAAACTAAAAATCAAATGATATTTGCATAGTATACTATTTCTTGCTAATCTTTTCCAAATGCATGCGAAGAAATTCATGCATGAAAATAGAAAGCAACTAATTCAAATAACCAAAACAACAGAAAAAACAACCTAAATGAAAAATAAAATTTTTTTCAAAAAGACCTAAAAAGACAACAAAGAAGATGAAGTTTCATCGGGAAAAAAAATGAAAAAAACCTACACAAAAAATAGAAAATAAAAATTATGTGGTTTGAATTCGATAACTTGATAAAGAAAGAACAATTGCAGAAACACCAAAACATGAAGTATAGAAAGGAAATAAAACTAAAATTGAAAATAGATAAGCAAGAATCACAATTAACTACCCTTAACAAGCTCTTCTTTACCTATTGGTTTTTTTTTTCGATCTCTCTCTCAAGCTTCTGTTATGAAATTGTTTGGCACCTTAGAAACTCCCATGCTAAAGAAAAGAAAACATTTTCTTATCCATTTTGATCTTCTACTTTTTTTGACTTGATCTTTTTCTAGATCTTTCTTTTACTTGTCAACCTCTCTCAATCTCATTTTTTCATCGTATCTTTCTTTTAGATCTTTCCTTTTTTTATCTCAGTGAAATAGCTTAGCTCTGCTACCAAAACAAAGCATAAAAAACAATGAAAAATAAAAAAAAATGTCATACTCAATAATTATCCAAAAAAAGTAAAAAAAAAAAAACTTAGGAAAAAACTGTGCGAAAGGGAAAAAATGAGACACATGCAAGTCCGAAGATCATTTGGAATCCTTTTTATCTATAACAAGTAAGGTACTTGTGCTTCGCTGTGAATTCAAGATGTTTTTTTGTAATTAGATAGTTGAATAATAAGATATTTGATAATAAATGTAATCAAATCTTGTAATTTCATAAACTAAAGCGAATGAATTATCGTTGAGGCTTGTTTTCTCATATGTGACGATTGAATATTCAAATTTTGATTATTCAAAAATATTCTTTTCTTTGTATGATAAAGACTCTCCAATAATTTTCGTTTTTTGCTATATTTGAAAATTTGATAATATAAAATACAATTTAATTTTTAAAAAACACTTCTGTCAAATAAAAAAAATTCAAAAAAGACTTATAGATATATAGTTAAGCAAATTTAAGATTCTGACCTACAATAAAAAATAACGATTCTATCTTATAATAATTTTATCCATAAATTCTAAAAACATGTGAACTTTCCTTACCATTTATAGAATTATGCATTTTTTCATTAGTAGAAATATATTAAAACATAAAATTATAAACTCAATATATTAATATTGATACTAAAGAGTAATAATAAAAAAATTTAAGCCTAATAACTCACATATTCACAGCTCATAAAGTCCAAAAAAAAAAAAAAAAGAAAGATAACTATCAACCTATAACACATTATGGGATACTTTTTATATAGTATTGTATAGATAGTGTAGATATGCTACTAGTAGAGGTTAAGCCAAAAAAAAAAAAAAAATCTACTTCATCTCGTAAGAAAATTGTCTCTGTTTTTTTTCAATTACAAGTCAAATATATACTGTTTCTAAAAAATGAAAAAAATTGTTTGACCAATTTATTTAATATTTTTGTCAAATTTTTATTTGTGTTGGTATTATAACATTAAATTTAAATTGATTCTATTTTAAATTATTTTCAAATTTAAGTTATCTACAATTTATAATCAAATTATATTGAATCAAAAAAATTTTTATATTAAGGTCAACTTTGCTAACTTTAAATATTATTGCTGCTTAAAATATGATTTGATTTTACATTTTTTCTACACTTGGATAAACTGAAAATTTTAAGAAAATATTAGCAATTTTCAACATGAAAAATATTACAAATTTTAAATCATTAAAGAAGAGATTAAAATCTTTAATTTTCAAAACTAAAACTACAAATTGTTTTACTAAGGGCACGAAATACAATAATAAGTACATTAATTCTTCTAATTTGCATTTTTTTTTTTTCATTTGCAAGCTCTTCAACAAATTATACATAAAAAGGAACTGTTCCAGCTCCTTCACAGAAGAAAGAGAGAGGTAAGATCATTTCTTTTTCTTTTGTTATTTCAACATGGTTTTATACTTTGTTAAACTCAATTATTTTAAGATGAAACTTCAAAAACTCTGACATGGAAACTTCCCTCAAAATCTTTATCTGATTTTCTCTTTTTTCTCAACACTCTTCTTATTTCCTGCAAACAATCACATATAAAATGTAATATGTGTTAGATTATGAGAGAAGCTTCAAAATTTTTGGAAAAACAACAACATTTGCAGGGATAAGTCCACCAAGGAATCTTTATCTATGGATTTAGTACTTTAAAACTGAATTCCAACATATTTAAGCAAAACATATTACTGAATCCAGTTAGGAATTCATGTTTAAATCTCATCTTCATCTTCCACTTCTATACATGTATATCAACCCTCTACCACCAAAGAGCATCATTCCGTTTCTCTTCTTTTCTCCTCCTGTACTTTGGAGGTCTGATATCTTGGTCAAATTACATAGCCACACAATAAGCATTCCTCTGTTCAAAACAAACTTTCTTTTGATAAAACAAAAGGCGAACAAGTTATCTCCATTCAGCCCTTGCTTGTTAACCAGGTGTGTATGTGCACAAACACGTGCATGTGAGTGCATGTGAATGTGCATGCAAAGATGAAGTTCTTATTTAGAGCATATATATGTGTATATGTTTGAGCACACTTATGTTTATGCAAATTGAACTTCTCATGCAAAAGACATTACTATAACCGCATGCATGTAAATGGTATCCACACATATTTACATCACTTCAACTCCCACATAACAAAGTTAGTTGTAGAAGTTCCAATCTGCGATATCTAAGCCAAACTGATTTCTAACTACCACCTCTAACTTTTCTTGTATTATAAACAAAAATAGCATCAAAACTTGTTGCTGGAGTAAATAATCCATTCCATTGTACTAGCAATGAATCGACAATTAACATTTCCAGTCATATATTTCGAATTCTTTTTTTACTAAATCAGAAGGCATCTTAATCAGAAATTCAATGGAGGACAGCCTTGAATTTTTTAAAGGGGCAAAAAATAAACTCAAGCTGAAATTAAAAGCCTTGGCAGAAAACATTGGGTATGTTCATGATATTTCAAGGAACTCTAACAACATTCTTTTCATATGCAACATATAGAAACTACCTCCTAATGATAAAATTGGTGATAGAAGCATACCAAGGAAGCTTGAAAGTGTCTTTCCACCACCCTTGTTTTGAGCAGTTGGCAACTATTTTGTCCAATCGTACAATGATCTCTGAAAAAGTCGGTCTGACAACAGGTTCTTTATCCCAACATTCTTCAATCAGCCTGTTCATATATTACAACGTAGTAAAGCTTAGAATACTTGTATATGTATAGTTCGATACAAGAAAGGCCTTAGGAAACACTGCACCTTTTTCTTCTGAAAAGAAAGACAAAAAAAACTGGGTTTTTCTTTCAAGTAAATTTAAGGAACACAAAACAACAAGCACACCACACACGTCATCCTGTCATTAATTCAATAAACTTGAAGCTAGAAAGCAAGGAAAGTCTACTCTTCATCTCAAACCCCAAACTTACTCTCTTAAGTCTGGAGGATAACTTCTTGATTTGGTCTTGAATGGTGGTCTCTTTTCTTCTAAACACATCAATTTCACAGCCTCTTCGGCAGGCTTGGGATGAAAAGGCACTACTCCTTCAATCATCTGAACTCATACAAGAACAAAATAGAAAAAGTGGTTAATACCTACTATCAAACTAAAAAGCAGCTTTAATTGCCTGAACAATTACATCCCTTGACCCTATGCTCAAAAAAATCCCCATCTTGACTTCTCATTCTCATAAATCTCACTCTCTCACTCTCACACAGAGAGAACTACAGAGGAAATTATTACAATGTGGGAAACAGGCAAGCATCCGTTTTTTCAAAAAAAACACAACACATTCACTATCTGAAAGATGTCAGCAAGAAAAACAAGGAATGAAACGCTTAAAGACAATTAAACTGCCTTTAGCCAGAATGTAACATTTGTGTTAGCCGATAACAAACTTTTGAGAGACCATATACCTCATATAGCATGACACCGAAAGAATATGCATCAACACTTCGATCAAATATCACATTTTTATAAACCTCAGGTGCCACATATATATCTGCAATCAGAAAAACCAAATCATTAGTCACAGTTTTACTATTCGCAGAAAGAATACATGCATTGTACTTATATTAAACATCCAAAAGAAAGATTTTTTGTCACAAGCGTACTTGATGGATCAACATGAGTGTCTGGCTGTGCTAATTTTGCCTTGTCAGCTGATATTTTTGACAGTCTTAGCAAACCAAATCCAGCTACCTTCAACTTGCCTCCATTATCCAGCAAAACATTACTGGCACCTTACCAAAATTTCAAATATTAAAGAACAGTGCATCACAATGAGTATATTAAAAAAATACCACTTGCCATTTCTGCAAGCATTATATCAACTTCTACAGTGGTTGCCATACTTTGGCTTTAAATCGCAGTGAATGATTGGATCTGGCTTACATTCATGAAGGTAATTCATTCCCCTGATATCAAGAAAATAACAGTCATAAAGTGAAGAACCAGTAGAAATAAATGACTAGAAGCAGTTCCAAGCATTATTAAATAAAGGATAATGTAGGATAGAAGAACAAGAAGCATATTCAGCACATTAATGTATGAGTTTTGCATAGGTGAAAAATATGACTTATGATGATTAAAGTGATAATACAGACAAATATTCTTGAAGTATTAAAAAAAAAATGCCTGGCAATGTCAAGAGCAAATCTTAAAACTTTGGATGGTGATAGACGCCCTTTCTTTTGAAGGTAGCTTCCCAAGTCACCCTGAAATAATGATCATCACCATAGTAATGTTAAAGAGGTGAACAAAACACTAAATACTCTCTCTAGAGAAAGCATATTATGCTGATGCAATAATTCCTTGGTGTAGAACACATTTCAATAACCAAATACAGGAACCATGCCGGAGAAGCTTAAAGTACATACTATCTCAAGAATTTGTAAAACTAAATTGGATGAAACTATGTGCAATAAATTTGAAATATCAGAAGCTCTAGTATAGAAATACAGGAGAAAGAAAACAAAGTTGTATCAATAAATGACTGAAGATGGTTGTGAGGTTAAGTCCGTTAATTAGGAAACTACTCCAGGCAATAGATAATTCTTTACTCAATTACTTGTTTCTCCACACATGTACATACATCCTAATCTTTTTCCTCTACCTAGTATCAATCGATCTGGCTATGCATTTTATATTTCAACACCACCTAAACTATATGGGAGAAAATTTTTAGGCCTATGAGGAAATATTCATTGTCTAGTCATCCCACTTTTCTTCTTTTCTCTCTAAATGGACAAGCTATGTGTTTATCTTCTATCATGATTTAACATAAAAGCATACATATATATAGATAAAATAGACATATTGACAGAACAAAAACACGGACAAGATCGTCAAGGGGCAGGCAGGGAGAGGAAGAGAGAGACATGCTTACTTTTGAATGATACTCTGAAACAATCATCATGGGAATATTTTGTGTAACAGCTCCGACAAATTGAACCACATTAGGATGTCGAACTTTTTCTAGTAAAGTTAGCTCATGCTTGAAAGCATTTCTGTTAAGGGAAGATATATGAATATAGTTTTGTGTTAGGCTCCCCAAGAAAGTTGGTAAACAAAAAAAATCCTATCATTACTTTAACAATAATTGGAAAAGAAATAAAGCTCTCAGAAAACAAGAAATATGTAGTAACCAAATAAAATATGTGCTAAAGTCCGTAAAAGTTGAGACAACAAAATCATCTACTTAGCCATGTAACCTCAAAATATGTACAGAATGCATTTAATACATCTGGTGCCATTGTAACATTTAAGAAATGATTGAAGGAACTCAGCGGCATATTCCCTAATCAAACTGACAGAAGATATTGATATAAATGAATGAAAGTGTATACTCAATAAAAACAAACCAAAATTATACATATCAATCATTCTAGTGTCCAGTGCCGTACAAGGCTAATTAGAAAGTTGCTTTACACCAGCTTTGTGCAGTATTAATCATATCAAAAGTAGAGCTATATTTTGGCCATTTTTTCTCCCATAAATATCCCTTAGTTTCTTCTTGTTTGGAATTTAGGCTGCAGAACTTATCTGCTGATTTAAAAAGAAATAGCAAACCATACTCGTTTCTTACCGTGTTCTTGGGGTATGCACAAAAATGCATGTTGGAAAGCATGCAATTGCTCTAGTTAAATGCAGTCACAAGACATTTGGGCAATGTCAACCAAAATATTAGAAAAGAAGTACACATAAGAAGAAGGATATGAGTAGTTTTAGACATCAAAATTATAAGAAACAAAGAAATTATATTGCCGTATGGACATCTACATAAGAATCACCATGTGGCTTGAAGGACACTTTGAATTCCAAGAAAGTGTAAGTAGCCAAGGAATGTGTATAGTAACAGCATAATTGTAAATGATTGATGTCAAAAAGGAAAGGACACATGTTTGTTTTCATTCACATGAGTCAAACACATATCTAAAAGAAAACAAGGTAAGTGCATACATGATCTCAGGGTCTGAATAGCTGTCCTTATCTAGTATCTTTACAGCAACCTTTGTGCCGTTCCATTTTGCCACTTGATATGATCCCTGGCAAGTGATTAATGAAATGTTAACAATCTATCTATAAAAGCACAAACTTAAAAAAAAAGAAAAAGAAAGAGGAAGGCCATCAGATAGCTCTTCTACTCTTTCAAAAATGAGAAATAAATATAAATTCAACAAGATACAGATCTGCGCATCAACCCTAGAGTCAACAACCATGACTGACTAAAACATGGTCAAGGCTATACCAAAAGTTTGCTCAAAGAAGCAACAGTTTGGTGAATATTTGAGGGAGATTATGCAGAGTTAAATATATTTCTTCATGGAAAAATATGAAGAAAGTTGTTCTGACAACCAATTTGTACAGGAAAAGTAAAGAAAACCTTTAATCTTGATAGAATAGGCTGCTAGTAGAATTTTCTTCTTTGATACCTTGTTAAGTTGGGAACTGTTGTTTTGTGGCAGATTACTGCCAGCGTTAGATGAATAAAATTGCAGAATTATCCAAAAAATGAAACAAAACAAGTTTGTCTCAGCAATCCAAAATCTGTTACCACCAAGAATATAAGGCAACATATTGTTTTAACAAATTACGGACAATGCAGAGACAATAAGAAAATGTTGGATACATGTGACATCCAAACTGATGGTAAATAAGCCACTATTAACCTCAAAAAAGCAATTAAAAAAAAATGCCCACTAATCAGTCAACATTTTAATGCTTTTATAACAATTGTAATGCCTAGTAATCTTTCATCAACTGTAACAATTGCCCACAAGAAGCATCATGCCTCTTGAAGGAGGAATTGGACTGAAAAGAGAATCAGATGCAGCAGAAGAAGCCTAGACTAATCATTTCACAGTGAAATGAATGACATGCTGAATGCTATCCGCAAATCAACCTAATCACCTTTCGGGTTGGACCGTTTATGAGCTCCCAAAAGCATCAATCCAGTAAAAGGAAGTGAAGAAAACCATACCGATGTTATACCATCAGACTTCCGAACTTGAAGCTCCAATGGATTAAGCTCATACTCTGGAACCTCTCGAGGGTTAGCAACTGTCATTGGCGTCTTCCTGGTTTTCTAATGTCAGGGCATATATGTAAATATCAATCTTCATACATGCATAAATTGCAATCATAAACAGAAGTGATATTTAGATGGAAAAAGAAAAAGAAGAAAAGTTTACTATCTTACAGGAACTTTGGCTCCACGGGCCTTCAAAATATTGTAGACGTCTACATTTCCATAGTACTTTGCATCAGCAGCTGCCTGCCCATACATAAAAACAAATTTGCTAACATTGCTCAATATGCATTCACATCATCATAAATCAAAGTGCTTTTGATAGGTAATCTGCCATATGCAGTGTTATCAGGTAAACTAAAACTAGAATTTGGGGCTGTAACTAAATCTCAAACTTATGCACATTTATCTACCTCATTTTATCTTTAATTACTCATCCTAATTTGCCAAATCCAAACATCATATGACTTGCCAACCTCCACAAGATCCCAATTCCATATATTTAATCCCACAAATTAATCAAAGCTAAATTGCTCAAGTATTAAAACAAAATCTAATTTCTCATTTTTAAATCTCCTTGTCCAGAATCAATAAGAAGTATTATTGCAAGTCAACAAAACCAACCAATAACGATGATTAGTTACAATCATAACAATAAATTAAATTAAATTAAAATGAAACCTGCAAAATAAATCCTACCTTTCCCAACAATTCAAACATCTAAGGAAACATTTGGTTTGTAGATTCTTAAGTTCCAAGAAGGAAAGTAATTTAGGGAGAAAGTGATATTGAAGGGACGTGTGATTCCTTGGTTCTATTAACTTAGGGAATGTAAGATTTTAGTATAAAATTACCTAATAAAATTTTTTATTATTTTAATTTTAATAACATGTAAATAACACGTAATATTCATAATACCGACGTATAAATAACACGTAATACATGAATAATATTTGTTTTTGTTGAAATTAAATAATTTTAAAAAATATTTTTTTATAATTTAAACAAATATAATCTTACAATTTTAATTATTATTTTAACATCGATTGTCTGTATACAAATACACAAATTGATCTTAAATTTTATATGTCATAATATGTAGTAAATATATTTACATTTTTTTTTTTATATTTTCAACAAAAATTACAATTTTATTTTAAAAGTATCGTCTTTTCAATAAATGCTATATTTTTTATCTTAAAAATATTATTTTTGTTGAATTCGAAATTTCTTTTCATATTTTTAATCAAGATTACATTTTTATCCTAAAAAAATTCAATTTTTCAAAAAATACTACATTTCTATCTTAAAACCGTTGTTTTGGTTAAATTTTAAAAAATAATTTTTTCGTATTTTCAATAGAAATCATATTTTTATTTTTAAAATGTCGTTTTTTCAATAAATATTAGGTTTTTTATTTAAAAAACATTACCTTTCTTAAATTTTAAAATATAATTTTTTTCAAAATTTTAACAAAAATTACAATTTTATTTTAAAAATATCATCTTTTTAATAAAAATTATATTTTTTATCTAAAAAATATCGTTTTTGTTGAATTTTAAACAATAGTTTTTTTATATTATCAACAAAAATTACGTTTTTGTCTTACAAACATAATTTTTGTTAAAGTATGAAAATAAATTTTTGTTATTTTTTCTACAAAATTATGTTTTTAATTATAACTTTTGCGATAATTTTAATATCATTGTGTTAAAAATATATTTAAAAAATTATTTCTATAATACTTTATAAAAAAATTATTACTTGAAAACGTTGTTTATATAATCTAAAAATATAATTGAGGATAAATAGAAATATCTTTTTACTTTTTTTCTTGGATTCTTAAAAATTTTTAGGAAGATAGAGAGATTTTTTATTCTTCTATTTTCTTACATTTTAATATTATTAAAAATTTTTTAAAATCCCAAAAATTATATTACCGTGAATCAAACTAAAAAAAATTAAATTACAAAAGATAAGAACTAAGGAGAGAAAGTTACTTTTCCCGAACCATAAGCCTTCTAAAGATTTAAAAGGAAAACGAAAGAAAGAAGAAAAAAGAAATGTACCGTGCTACCCCAACGATCACGGGCATCAATATTAGCCTTTCTACTAAGAAGAAGCTTGACAACCTCAACATGACCTTCACAAGCAGCGATATGCAAAGCAGTACGGCCATCCAAGTCAATACTATTAACATCAACACCTTCATTCAACAAATCCTCCACTCCTTTGACATCTCCTCTACACGCCATGAACAGCAGCTGCATGGTCGAGTCCAGGTTCTCCGGCACCGTCAGCTCATCTTGGACGGGACTCCTCCTAATGGGGTCCAGCGACGACTGCCGGCCAAAGCTGAACCGTTGGTTGTTCCTCCGAGGGTCCAGCGATGACTGCCGCGTGAATTGGCGGCTGAAACTCCGTTTTATCGACCCAGTAGAGAATTGGCGCGAGATTCCTCGTTTTAGCTGCGCTGCTAAGTTTTCCATGGTCGTTTCTTGTGGTACAAGAAAAGGATAATCCAGAAATCAAGTGTAAAAACTGGAAAAGCAAGAGAATTCACATAATAATCAAGGAAACAACGAAATGTAAGGAATATGGCTTCGAAAGATCGAGAGCCGAAAGGGGAAAAAGGGGAAGAAAAGTTAAGCTCAGGGCTCTCGATATCGAGGCGAGGAAGGAAGAGGAAAGAGATTATGATGAAGAAGTGAAGGAGGAGAGAGGATTTGAGATCCGAGCGAAGCTCATGGAAATAATAGAGAGAAAGAGAAAAAGGAGGAAAATGGTGGAATTTAGCTTTTGATTTTGGACAACAAACAACAAAGCTTTGTTTCCCCCTTATTCTGTTTCAACTTTCAACCGAACCCAACGAAAATGGCGTTCCTGAAAAAAATTCATTTATACTGCAATTTCGACGTAAAAAACGCGCCGTTGCCTCAGAGCCTAGAGCCTCGAGACCAGAGATATGCACATTTTTAATTTACTTATTTTTTTTATTTTTAATCTCATTTAAAAAAATAATAATAATAAAGTAGTTAACAAAATCATCAACCAAACTCAAGTGAAATTAAAATAATTCCAACAGTATTATTATTATTAAATTTTGATTATAATAGATTGAAAATTTTATAACTTTGTGATATTAATTATATAAATTGACAAAGTTTTTTCGATCAAAAAATTTTTTTTTAATAATTATATATATTTTTTATTTTGAACCGTTTTGGACTTTTCACTTTTTTTTTATTATTATTATTATATTTTTTTAAAGATTTAGATGCAATTCAAATTCTATTTATTGTTTTGTTATTTTCTAAAAAGTGTTTTGCTATTTGATTTTTAAAAAGATCTTTGAAGGGATAGTTTTTTAATATAACTATTCTTTAAAAAAACTAAGAGAATTATAGTAAAGAGAAAATATCAAATAATATTAATAATAAATGACTGATTTTATAATATAGTCCTTACTTTATATTTATTATTTTACAATATAATTTTTATTATTATTTAAATATGTAAATTTTAATAAAATTCAATTTTTTAGTGTCTTAAATATAAAAAAATGACAAATTGAGAATTAATAAATGAAGTCTTATATATATATAGTCTCTTTCATTGTTTTAATTACTAGTAGTTTACTTTCCCCGCTTCCAATTATTTAATTTAGATTAATGTATCAAATAATAATTGATAGATTGAATTAATGTTAAAAATAGTATATTACACAATTGATGTTCTTATAAACTTAATAGTGAAAAAAAGTTTATTTAGAATAACGAAAACAAAAAAATAAAAATAAAAATATTTTGAAATTTAACTAAATCATTCTATAAAATAATTTAATTTTATTATAAACTTAAACTAACTCTATATAATTAAGCATTTTCATTTTTATTTTTTTAGTAATATCCGTTAAAATTTGTCGTAAAGAGAAATTTATGGATTTCTTATCTACACAAATTATTAAAGTTTTAGGGACCAGAGTTTTAATGGTTTATTTTATCAATTGAAGATAAAAAATAAAATTTAAAATAATTATAAATAAAATAAAAAAGGAAAAACTTACCAAAGCTAAGAGAATGTTTACCTACCCTCATCACTAAAATGATTTGAAGATTCTTTTAATAGTATAATTTGTTAGATTTCTTTTCCTTTTTTAAATAGTGTTTATCCACATTTGTTAATATAATATTTATAAAACAAAATCTAATTAATGTATTTTTCCTTCTAAATTTTATAAAAATGATATTTTAAATAAGGAAATATTTTTAAAACTGTATTTTAAATAACATTTGTAAGTATTTATGGACACTTGTTTATCGAATTTATTTTAAAAATAAAAATTTAAGTTATAATTATTAAAGTATTAATTTATAGTAAAAATTAAAATTACTAAAATTTTTACATCAATTAATATCTCCTTTTTTTTTTTTTTACTAAAATTAACAAATTAAATGAGAAATTGTACTTTTTCTCATCATAAATATTAATGACCTTTTATATGGTCACCAAAATTTATGCATCACTTAGAGATTAGGGTTGGGTTTCTGATTCAACTCGTTATTTTTTTGTTTTTATTAAATTTTTTCTTTTTTATAAATACCTTCAATTTTTTGTTTCATTTTTCTTTCTTCTCCATCTCTCTACATGACACGCTCTTTCTCTTTCTCTCTAAATTCTTAAAACCCAAATCTTGATGTTGGAGCATCTCTCTGTTAGTCATTGACGTCAAACATCATTAGTGTTAGAACCTCTTAAAATTCATCAGAATCTTCTTTTTACCCCTATTTGATTCTATAAGATTAGATTTTTAGAAAAGCCCTTTGAAACTAATGAGTCGAGCCTCAAAATTATAAATAAAAGTTTTAGATTTGTTGAAAATATTTTCAAAATATAAAAATAATATAATTAAATAAATAGTTAATGAAAAGAAAATTCATGTTAAACTATTTAAAACTTTAAGGTAATATTCCACAGTTAATAAGATTGATTCTATACTTAAAAGAATCAATGCAATAAGGCTTATCATAAAAGCAGTCAATTACCTTAGCAAGAGTAGTCAACTTCTATGTACTAGCCTTTAGGAGTAGTTGACTACTTATATTAAGGAGTCGATTGTTATGCACTTTAGAAAGGTATGTACAAAACTTATCTAAGGAGCAATCGACTACTATGATTAGAATCGATTACTTTAAGTTTTTTGTATTATGAAATTGAGGGAAGTCGACTTCTTTAAGGTAGCAATTGATTGCCTTGCTTCATGGAATGTTCTAAAAATGAAAATTACAAAGAGATAATCGACTTCTTTTAGAGAAAAGTTTGACTGCTCTAGGTAAAAAATTGTAATTTTCTTAAATGTGAAATATGATTTCTTTTAGAATGAAAAAATGATCATTCAAATGAACTAATATAACTTTAATTATTTGTAAAGGCATTTTTTTATAGGCATCTTTTTCATTAAGGAAAGTGTTCTTTGATTGAAATAAAACAATCAAAGAGACACAATTTTAGGATTTAATCTCTATTAAAAAGGAAGGTTTTCACCAAATAATAGGTTATAATGATTTTCACAAAAAGTTAGATAAGTCATATCCACCTTTTAATTTTTATCTATGATTTATGATCTTATGATCATATTACTTGTTGTTACATTTATATATATGATGAGGTAGCAACTATGAAAGGTTACTTAAAATGGATTTTCTTAAATTCATCGATTATTCTCATAATTCATGAGTTTCCATCATCACGAAGTTGGATTTCAATAAAGTCATTTTAATAAAATGAAATATAATTCTTGAAATGATTATGTATAATTTTCAAATAAAAAGATTGGTAACATAAAGAACACATAAGAGAGAATAAAGATTATTATAGTCTATTGTTTATAAGATAGAGTTATGTTAGTCTTGTTCAAAGAAAAGACTTTAGGTTAATACTATAAGGGTGCATGGTTTATGAAAATAAAGTCATTAAAATGACTATTACGTCTCCTTAAAAGAAAGATAAATGCACTGGTAATAACAAGTTTTTAACTTGTTATAAAATGCAATTGACCACCCATACAAAAGAGTCAATCTCCCATAACTTTCAAGAAGAATGTTGGCTTTTTGTTTGAAAAAAAAAAAGTTGATTACTTTATACTAGGTAGTCAACTGCCCTATTTCAAAAATCAAAAGATTAATTTCTGGAATGAAAAAAGCCAATTACTTAACTAAAGAAATCGATTGCACTTCATAGAAAGCATTTTGGGAAGCAAAATTACAATATCTAAAATTATATGTAAAGCATGATTAATAAATTCTAAGTGTTATAATATATGATGGCTAGAAAATTTTCAATTGTATAAAAAAGGAAATGTGACAAACATGAAATTCCTTCATATTAAAACTTAAGTTAAAGCAATATAAAATTGTAATTTATAATACGCTTTGTAAGGTTGCTTTTGAGATAATATTTATAACAAAAGATAATTTTCTTTGTTTAAATGTGAATATAATTTAAATTGAAATATGCTTTGAATATGACTATGTAAGAAAAGAATATGGCTAAAAACATTGTATGCTATGATATTTTGACAAATAGTTTAGCATGATTATTATGATGCATGAATTTATAAAACATATTTTATAATTCTATGATTAAGTATGCCTAATTGATTTTTTTTAATGAATTACATGCTTAATAAAATATGTCTAAGAATTTATTTTCTAAAAATAAAATCATGTTCTAATATACATTAATTGATTCATAATAATGATTTTCATAGCAATTGGTATATTCTATGGTTATGCTATGATTTTGACAAAATATGATTTTTATTACTGGTTATGTTATACAATAATATATAGCATGTTTGAATGATTTTAAGATTAAACATGTAATTGACATATTTGATTTATTACATACTTAAATAAAGAAGTTAAGAAATTACTTTTTTAAAAGAAGGATCATTAAAATACTTGAAACAATAAAATATGCATAGCTAATTTGATTAATAGTATATGATATTATAACTACTATTATAGAGATATATATCTGATTATTCAAATTAAATATGCAATATATTTTGATTTTTCAATCATAAGATTAATTGCACATATTGCTAAAATTAATAGAAGGAAAAATGTTATAAAACTTATATTGTTGATAATCTCAAATATTGACGTGCAATGAATTGAATTATTCATTTGCATTAACATTGATAAGAAATGAGTGGTTCTATAATATGGAGTCTGCTAAAATAACACCATTTTGGTGTGAAATAATGCTTGTTAAATGATTAACCTAAAAGATTAATGATAAACTTTTGGTTAAAAACAAGGATATGAGACAAAGGCATTTATGAAATTATGTCATGATTAAATAAAGTTTCAAATTAAAGGAACCAAGTTGTTCTCATGAACTAAGAAATGAAATCAAACCTAAGCTTTCGAAAGGCTTGAGGGCTTAGAGCAATTGTAAAGTTTCAAAACTTACAATCCAAGAGATTAAAGAGGAATTGAATTGCATTGGAGTTTGCACACAATAAAGAATAAAGATTCAATTTTTTGAATTTAAAGGATTCAATTATAATTAACATTATAATTGAATCAAGGATGCCATATTAGAAGAATATAAATGTTTAATGTAGCTCCTCATATTAAATTGTTCAAATAAGTTCATATGAACTTGGGAAAGATTTTTCAAAAAAAAGAATATAAAGATCTTGTAAAAGAGTTAGAAAGTAAAATATGATTCAAGTTTATTAAATAAAAGAATAAGGAGTCGTATGACTTAAATTTCATAAATTCTTGTTTAATAAATAAGGGAAGTTGCATATTAACCTATGCAATATTGTTTATTATGAAATCTAATTATATGATTTATTAAGACAAATAAAGTCTTAATAAGTAGCATTCTTGAGATAAAGTTAATGAATGTTATACAATCATAAATAATAACATTC